CTAGACATTTTTTTATGAGAAAAAATAATGCATATCTGAAGTAGAGCAAATTTCATTTGTTATCGAAATTTTTTCTGTTCATTCTTTACATCTAGTTTCGACAACAACATCAACAACAACGAAAAAAACATGTTTATGCAAATCAAAACACTTGATTCCTGTTATTGTGAAAAAATATCTTCACGTTGTTCACGTCGCTGGTCGGAACATTTCAATTCGAACAAGGAATTTGTTTTGAAATTCTGCACAAGTTCGCCTTTTTTACAGTAGCCAGAAACAATTCAGGAAATCGAAAAAAATTTCAAGAAAAAAGTAAAATTTGATTCGAATTCGAATCAAATGAATTTTTATTTTTATTATCCTCATCATTTGGAATCCTTGATACTGATAGAGGATGCAAAAATCAATTTCAAATTTGTTTCCGAAAACAATATGCGATTTGTGTGCGAGAGAAAGCTTCCTGTATTGGCGAAATACCTACGACGCTGCTCCAACCAAAAAATGATGAAATCGGCCATGTTTGTACCCACTGCTTTATTTTCAATTTTTTCACTATTAAAAAAAACTTGACTAAAACTCTTGGGCTCAGTCATTTTATTTCTCCATTAAATTTTTCATTTTATCGAACAAATGTGGAAACAAGAAGAAAAACCTATTTTACTTGGAGACAAATTTTGTACAATTTCCTTTCGTCATTTTTTCCGAGAAAAAAATACAGCAACAAAACGATGAAGAAAGAAGAAGAAAATTTTGACAAATGTGATGAACAACCAAAAAGAGAGAATCGAATAATGATTATTATGATGATGGAATTTATATGTTTTCTGTGTGTGTCTCTACTCATGAAATGACGAATACAAAACACACAAATGACAACGAGCTGGGGAAGAAATGAAAAAAAAAATTCAACAAAAAAGGGAAGAATAAAGATGTAGAAACCAAAAAAAAAAAAAAAAAAACAAAAATGATAAATAATGAACATGAGAAAAATATTCTGGGAAACAAACAAAAACAACCATAAACCATGAATATTCGTGCCAAACCAAACCAACCAGAAAAAGGCCACCAAAAAAAAACAACAAAAAAAATTTCCCGTAAACATTAGAGAGATTAACGTCATCATTTTAATCACAAGTAAATAAACTTTTTGTTTTGTTTTGTTTTGTTTTGTTTCCAAAAACAATAATAATGATCACATCACCATCATCAGATGATTTGACAACTTTTACCAATGTTTGTTTGGTTGGAGCATTATTATCCACCACCACCACCACCACCAACATGGCCATTATTTTCCAAGCTCATAATGAGAATTATTTTTTTCTTTTTAAATTTTTTTTTCAACAGAATGGCAACAATGCAATTCGAGACTTATGGTTATGGTAGTGAAACAAAACGAAACTTTTTTTCAAATACACAAACAACAACGATAAAACAACAAAAAACGAATATGAAAAACTAGTGTGGAAAATTCTTTTTTTTTTTCGCTTCCAAAAATGAGCATCATCATCATTATGGAGAAGGGAGACAAAGGTTCTAAAAACACACACAAGTGCAAAGCGGTCCCGCTTTAATTACTACATTGAGTTTGTTGATTGATGCCATCATCATCATCAAATGGAACCACATACGGTGGTGGTGTAGCGAGAAAACGAAAAATTTGAAATTTTTTCATTCTTTGCTTTGCTTTGAATAATGAGCATCATCATCATCATAAGAATATGAAATCACATTAGTGATGTATGTACGTGTGCGTATGATGACACAGACAGTAATCAGAGTGGTTAACTACTTTGTCTGTATCTATGTAAAAAGAAAATATTAACCTCAGATCATTATTTGTCATCATATCATGAATAACCTAAAAAATGCAGAAAACACAAAAGCGAAAAAATCTTCAAAATGACAAACAAGTCAAAACAGAAATGATCAACAAACAATGAAAAATGTCACAGACATCCATTAACACAAACAAACAAACAAACAAATAATGGAAACCTTTTTCCTCACAATGAAAATCTATGTTTTGTTTTCTTTTATTATTTCGATAATTCAATCATCATGAATTGAAGTGAAGAGAATAAAAAGCAAGTAGCAGCAGCAACCTTCGTTGAGATGGAGAACAAAAATTTGAAAAAATGAAAAAAATCCAAGCCATTGAAGCGAACAGGAAAAAAATTCATTCACCATTTCAAACACTTGGAAAAGTTATGAAAACAACGAAAGAAAGGAATCAGGGAATAAAAGAATCAAGAATCAATCCTTTTTTCTCTTCTTCTAAAATGCGATGATGATAAGATTTCATTGTCTATTTTCTCACAGTGTGTGCGTTGTTTTTGCTGTTGATTTTAATTGAACTTTTTTTTCCTACATTTTTTCTCATTGTTATTGTTTCACATTTATTCTGATTGAATGGCAAACAGGAATTTAGCAGAAAAAACGACTTCCCTCCATCCCATCCTTAGATAAAAACAATCAGTTATCATAATGATCAATAAATGTGTTTGATGATCACACACACACACACACACACAGAGAGAATGAAAAATCGATATATTCATTATAATCTAAGATTACGCGCCAGAATCGTCTCTCTCCTTCATATCATCATCACCATCATAATCATCGATAAGTTTGTGGCATGTCAATTCTCTCCATACAAATCTATTATCTATCAAATAAAGAATTCAAGACAGAATCAAACAACACACACACACACACTCAAATTGTGATGGTGAATTTGTGTTCAGTTTAGCGAGAGAAAAATGAAGGAAAAACATTAATGCATGTAAATGCATGGTAGTAGCATCACCATCTGTAGCAGTAGTAGCAAATTTTATTCATTCATTCCTGATGCACGAATCATAATCATAAAAATAATAATAATTCCCATTCGACCGGAATCAAGCAACAAACAAAAACAAGAATTTTCATCCTCACCATTGTCGTCGAAAACAAAAAACGATTAAATGTTTGTTTCTTCTGTTTCAATTCAAATTCAAAATGGTAACAAAATAAACAACGAATGTAACGAAACAAGAGAGAAATTGGTAAATTATTCTCAAGAAATATTGTAAAAAACAAAAAAGACGACAATAAAATTCGCTTCGAGAATCACAGAGCAAGCGAATCGCATTCATTATACAATGGACCAACACGAAATGACAATGATGACTGAAAAAATGAGCAAATAAAACTAATTAATAATAAATAATCATCACAATAAAATGCAGCAGACAAACAAACAGATTCAGATTCGCACGGATGGACGACAACAAGAAAAGAAAATAAACGAAACGAAACAGAAATGTTGCTTTTCTTTCGTTTCGTTTTCGTTATTATAAATGCCCAAATATATTTTATATGAAGAAATCGAGAGAAAAACCAAACGAAAAGAAATAATTGTCAAATACAGCCAACAACAGAGAACAGAATAACTGCTCTGTCTGTTTTGGTTTTTTTTTTCTTTACGAATGTTTATTTGTTATCGCATCGAAACAGAAAATGTTTTTTCCATTTGCGAAACAACAGTAGCAACAACTTTATTGATGACGGTCAATTCAAACACGAACCATGATAATGATGATGATTTGCAATTGGATTTATGAAACGGAAAAAATTATTACCTAGTTTTAAATATGAGTAAAATTTCGACATGGAATATATACACACAAAACATATGAAATGTAATAATAAATTAGCAGCATAAATCAATCAAATGTTTCTATATATTATCATTATTTGATGATTGACTGACTATCATCATTGATTGATTCTATTATGGACTAACCGAAAAATGAATTGAGTGATTGAATGAATGAATGAATGAATATTGAGTATAACGAAATGCACCCAACACCATATATATAACGAAACAATGCCTGAAGGTCTGAAATATTTTTATAACAATAATCGTAATTGTAATACCATAGTGAATAGTAGATGAAAATTCAATCCAAATTCAATATTCGATTAGAGATTGAGCAAATATTAAAAATAGACAACACCATGCAATCGCGCAAACACACACACACAGACACAATATTTTTTTATTCAATTATTCTATGGCTAAATTTCACGTGAACATCATCATATACAAAAATGATGATGATGTTGTGGATAAATCTGCAATAACGAAGAAAAAAATTCTAGAAAGCTTTTTGGCCTGATAATAAAGAAAAGTTTACATTATTACATCCGCAAAATTAAAATTCTTTCTCTCAGTTGCTCGAATGGATTTTTTTTTTTTTTTTGATAAACGAGAAATAGAAGCCAAAAACCAAGAAAGAAAAACGGATAATAAAACAGAGTGCCAATGAACTTATGGAAATTGGGCAAATTCTTCCGAATGGAAAAAACCTTGTACCTGAATGTGTGTGTATCAGATCGCATCATCAAAAAAAATTCATTGGATCTTTGAACCAGAGAGAAAGAAACAATTTCAACATTACTTCTGAATAAAAAGACGGATTTCATTTCTGTGTTTCTGGAAAGCAATTTTTCGTTTCTTTGTCCAACCAAAGAGTGTATTCTTGGAATTAATTTTTTTCTGTTTAACCATTCACTTGGTGTGTTACATAAACCATTTAAGAGCCAAGTGTTAAACACACACATATTGGAACATGGTAAAAAAATTGTCGCCGTCATCATCATCAACACCGATTTGTATAATAGAATCTAACATTTTACAAACAACATACGGGAATAGAGCCAAAAAGAATGAGAGAGAGTGAGTGAGCGAAAAAAAAACGATAACAACCCGATGGCGACTTTAATGGTGTTTTAATGACCCGAACAAACCGACCGAAGAATGTGTGTGGAAAAAAGTGTGTTCAAGAGAGAGAGAATTTCTTTTTTATTAGAGAAAACGGCAAAATTTCAAAAGTAAAAAAATTTAATTTCCTTCAACCGATAAACGACTTTATCATGTGACAATGTTTGTGTGTGCGTGTGCGGAGATTATCAAAAGAAAAATGGAAACTTTTTGTTCGAATACTTACCAAAACAAATGTAGGTAGGTAGAATAAGATTATCGACAATCAACACATGAAACACACTTGAATGACACACACACTGAAAGAAGAATAAAAATCAGAAAAATTTATTCGTCGTCGTCATCAAAATCGAACAAATTTGAAATGTGAATAAAAGTCATTGTCATCTGAAAATCTGAAACAATCGGATCAACAATTCAAACTGCAAGGCTGCAAACTGTTGTCATCATGTGTTCTGTATCGATGGATCGTGAGTTTGTGTGTCTGCTGCTCACAATGAACCATCAAGTGTAAATAATTCGATGAATCGATGGATGGATGATAATGAAATGGGATGAAATCATCAACACACATTGGATGAAAAGATAACAGTAAAATTTCAAAATAAAAAATTCTCATAGCAAAGACACACAATTGAAACCAAAAACAAAATCTGATTCTGATGCCGATGATCGACGTACGAATCGGTCGAATGAATGAACATTACTGACAATGGCAAATTTTTGATAGAACAAAAATCTGCACACACAAATGCTATGGCACCAAACGCACAGACACATTTGCTGGATCCTGGATCCTCTTGTTCATCCAATCATCAAAATAGCAAGAGAATTACTGCAACGTTTGTAGTGGCAAATAATTGGTATAGAGTGCTAGCAGTGGTGGTAGCAGATTGTTCCGAAATAGAAATAGAAAAAATTATTTTTGGAACACTACTGTATCCATCGAACCATGTGCACATCGTTTTTTTCACTTCTTGTTGAGATTAAAACACCCGTAGAAAAAACAGAAGAAAAATTGTTGAAGTATTCGTGCGCGTGCTTAAATTTGAATCTCGAGAAGCAAACTTGTATTAACTGCTGAAGATAATGATGATGAACAGATGGAAGAACGCCTGGATAAACATCATCATTGTCATTGATTTTAATCCAGCCAGATAAAACAAGAATCTTAGTTATCCCTCGTTTTCTTTCATTTCCAATCATCGTTTCAAGATTCAATCTAAAAATTAATCAAATTTAACGATTTTAACATTTGACATTTGACACCGGAAACTGGTAAGCATATATGCAAAAAAAAGTCTAAATGAAAATTTACATCTGGAATATATCATCATCATCATCATCTATGTCAAATGGGCAAAAAAGGATGACCAACCAAATGTAATTCAATGTTCGTTTGTAAATGAGTCATGGTCACGTTATCCGATAAAGTCAAAGTTCAACCAGCACCAGTACCACCACCACCACAACCATCATTAGCAACATTTAACCTCAATCAAACTTTGACTCATCACCATCAGCATCCGTAATGATCAGGCTGGCGGTTTTTCTTCTTTTCTTTCCTGGCCATATTGAACAAATGAACAAACAAACAGACGAGAAACAAAAAATCTGAAAAGTGAAAAAAACCGGAAAAATATACAGCAATGTAGTGAAAATGCAATTAGGAACGATGGCGACTTATTTACTAGCACTAATATGGCTATGAATGATGCACAACAACAAAACACAAGCGATCATCAGAGGGGCCTGATCATTTCATGATTTCACTTTCAATGTTGGTGGGTGGATGAATGAATGAATAAACGAATGGATGGATGCTTGGATGAATTGAATTGAATTGAAGCAAAGAAAAAGAAATTTTCAGTCAACATTTACAGTGTGTGTTTGTTCGATAAGGGTGGCATAGACAAGGGTTGATTTTTTCGAGAAATAAAGGAATGAATTGAATCTCACCCAAGCTATTCATCCGACGATGATGATGATGATGGCTTTTGCTTGGATGAATAGAGAAATAGCCGTGTTTCATTCGAAACAATATGGTTCACATACTGCAGTATTATTGTCGTCGTTTATTATGACGTGTTTTTTACATTCACTTGTGTGCCCCTCCGCATTTAGTTTGTTTGGTCGATTGATTGGTTGGTATACCCAAGAACGGAAACGTGTCGGGTATATTCGACTGAGCGACCAAAACAAATAGCCATGAATGCTTCAATGTGACATGTGTGCGTGTGTCGGGGTGCGGGTGACGAATTTCAACAACAACAAAAAAAGAAAAGAAAAAATGAGAAATTCAAAGATCCCTTAGAAATGAACAAACAAACAAACAAATTGAACTCAAATTCCACATAAAGATTGTTTCTGGAACGAAAAATTTTTTCATCTACATATCCATTTGGTATTATGATGCTGCTGATGATGATGATGATGATGATGGTCATTCAAATTGGTTGAATGGGTAGTACTTTAAGTGTGACAACAACAAATGCATTACATATTACATGCAAAAATGACTAAATAAATGGAAATGGATGGAATAACAACAAAATACGAAATACGAAAAACAATTCGTGTATCACCATTTCGACACAGAAAAATGGAAATTGTCAGTTAATCCATCACAAACAACAACAAATGATGATCGACAAAAGGAAAAGGAAGGCTAAACAAAACAAAACAAACAAAACTTGAATCGAGGAACAATTTCACTATTTTTTGGATTGGTCCATGGTTTTACTTTCATTTTATTCGTTCGAGAAAATAATAGCGCGGATCTGTCATGTTCGATGAACCATGTAGGAGAATGGAAAAAAATGAACAATACACAGACAGACTACAAACACATATATCACCTGTGTATGTAGTTGACCATATAGTAATCATCGATTGGCACGTAAACAAACATCAGCATCATCATCGTTGTTGTTGTTGTTCCGGTGTTGAATTTTATCGGGAGAAAAGAATGTAGACACACATACACTTATCTGACGCTGACCCGAACTTGAAAGAGAGAATCAAACCGAAACTCATGAACATACAGAATTTTTGTGCACGCCATATTGAAAAATAACGAAAGAATTCATCTGACCGCCATCGGCATTGAAAAAATGAAAAAAAATTTTTCTCGATTAAAAATAATAAACATACAGTATTCGAATCGGGAATCTACACAAACGGAAAACGAAAAACATTGCATTCTATTTCTCCAAAGATAAATGGACAATCATCATCTCACGGCCAAAGAAAAAAAAGTCAAACTGCACCATACAACTACCAAGCAACAACCATCGATGAATAGAATTTAATCGGAAAAAACGAACGATCAAGCTATAATACGGAGATGACGAAAAAAATTCTCAATTCAACTTATTTCAACTAAATTGAAATTAGTTATTCTTGTCGCGTTTTATCGACGCCCGCCATCATCATCATCATCATCATCATCGCTATCGCCATCGACACCGTGATCCAAACAATTCATAATAGTGTGTTCTTCACACACAAAAAAGTAGCTGACTGACTGACTTGATCTTTTTTTCTCTTTGGGTTACACACTCGATGATCGAGATCATCATCATGATGATGATGATGATGAGCAATTCAGCTTTGCTTTTTTTCCACTCTCTAATTCTAGTAATTTTCTTTTGCGTTTATTATGATTATCATTCGAATTGTTGTTGTTGTTCGAACCATCAAGACACCCACCCACCCCCATGAACACACTTCGCTAATTAATTATGAAAGAATGAAATAAACATGCAGAAAATTGTGTACACGAAACAAAACAAAACAAAAAAAGAAAGAAAAGGCAAATCAACCAAACTAAACTAATCATCATCATTATAGAAAACATATTTTTTATTCGTTAACTAATTATTCAATCGCAGGCGGCGGGTGGTGGTAGATCAATCGATCGGTGGGCAAAAGGAAAAAATTACGAAAAAGTCGATCATTATGATAATGATAATGATGTTCATGGGATGCTATATCGGTGATTGTAAGATAATCGTTAGTCAATTAATGCAATTTGTATAAAATATTTTTCTATTTCTAATTTTTTTCCATTTCCACATTCACATTACCATGAATGTCTACATAGAAATGGAAAAATTATCATTCTTTTAATAAAAAAAACTCTCATGGACAATCAAAGTCATTGAATAAAATTATCGTTGTCGAATGTACATGAAAAAATTCAGAGATTAAGGCACGACTGTAATATGTTAGGCGATTGCAGTGCAAAATCAGCATACATCATCATAATCATCTCTTTTACATTCACAGAGATGATCAGACCAGAATCTCAAAAGCCCACAATCATCATCAATGCTTCACATCAATCGTTATTATCATTATTGATGTTGCCATTGGTTTTTTGGTTTCTTTTTACTTCATAATCAAAATTCTTTCTCTTTCTCTCTGCAAACTAGTCTAAACACATAGTATTTCTGATATGAAATATATACTTTTGACTTTATCAAACGAAAAAATCGATTGATTCAATTGATGATGATGATGATGATGAAACAACAACAAATAAACAAGCTAGAAAAGTGGAAATTTGCCATACACAGATCATTGAATCGTTCGTTTGGACGGATGGATAGATTCCAAAAAAACGATGTGAAAATCGATTAATCGTAACTAAAAAGAAAAATGATGATGAGAGTGTCGAGTGATAAGTATGAGCTGAAAAAAACTCAAACTCAAGCCGATACAAACATGGGATGAAATAATGGAGTCGTCGATTGTCGTAATATTATGAAAGAAAGAATAAATCAATCGATCTCTGAAGAATCAATAAAAACAATCGAAAAAAATTGCTGGTTTACAAACAAACAGAAAAAAAAAAACATGGGATGGTCAATCATCAGTGAATGATGACAAACGACAAATATTTATTTTCTTCAATTTTTCTCTCTCTCTCTCTAAAAATATTCATCAATATACCGACAAAATTAGCTTGAGTTCAATTTCAGTGATTGCCCAAGTATCATGAATCTGTGTCTGTGTGTGTGTGTGTGTCTTCGGGCGTTTGAAATCCAAAGTTAACCCAAGGAAAAAACGACCATCATCATTCATTCATTCATGGATGATTTTTGAATGAAAAAAAATTAAAGTTGAAGCTTCTTCTTCATCATTGTTATATAATAAAAATGATCAAGCAAAAAAGAGAGAAATTGTTTTCGGGATAACAATTTGCTTAAGTAAAAAGTTTCAACATTTTTTCTCGCTGATACTCGATCCTAAATTGAGAACACACACACACACACAACAATAACCTAAACTAAATTTGAATCAGCTATAAGAAGATTAACATTCTGGGCAAACGTTTTTCTGTGTTTGTGTTGTGTTGGTGTGCATTTTTAATGATTAGATGATCAACCGCCTGACAACATGAACAACGGCAACGACGAAATTCAAAAAAAAAAAAAAAAAAAAAAAATTTCGCCGACAGAATTCAAGAAAATGAAAAAAAAAAAAATTCTTTACAAGAATTATGATTATAATAATAAGCTTCGAAAAAAATGAATAGAGCGAAAAAACAATTTTCTGAAAAAGGGAATATCAAAATCATTTTCTTCTAACAAGAAAAAATAAATCAGAATAAAGCAGAAGAAAGATGAATAATAAAGAATGATAAATAGAGTGAAGACAAGAAACAATTACAATG